GCTAATGAAAATCCATCCAAAATAAAGGCCTCCGGCAGCAAGAGAAACACTTAAATATTACAAAAGTAGGTTTTTTTTATTGTTGCGGCCAAAATGCACAATTTACAATTTACGATTAGCGCATTAAAAGTAAACGATAGAAGATCAAATGTTGCCCCAGCAGCAGCAGCAGCACAATACCAAAATCAAAATCATGGCAAAGTTTAACAAAAATTTGGGTCAAATAGCGCTTTAATGATGGAATTCGTAACTAACCCGGCAGCAGGGGTATTAATGGAGTTATAGAGCTGGGCTATACAATACCCAAAAAAAAAAGTATGCACGAGCTAAGTTAATGTTTTTTGTCGCTGTCAAATTTTTTTGCAAACTCGAATGCGTCATCCAGGCCAAATCCTAACAATAACGTTTACTAGCCAATACTAACCACACACACATACACACACACACGGGCACACACACATTAGCTACCGTTAGTAACTGAACTGTTTTACATTATTTTCAGATCTCTATTGGTGGTGCGCCGCTCACTGCCGACGCTGGCTTCAGCAGCGACTGCAACGCCGGCTTCGTTGTCTGACTTTCTTCCTAACTATATAAAAGCCGCGGTGGCTCGTTGCAACCACATTATTCAGTTGTGGAATCCCGTTGCGTGCAGCTCGTGGAACGTCAATAAAACCAAAACCAAAAAAAAATCAACTTACAATTAAAGCATATAAAACCCCCAAACTAATAAAATGGCCTTTAAGGTGAGCCGAAGGATACAGTTTTAAAGGATACTCAAAGCATGCACAAAGTGTAAATAATAAACTAAAGTGTTTAACAACATCCTTTAAGGATCTCAACTATCGTACAAGTGTTGCAAAGTGTTTTAAACAGACAAACTACAAATATTTGAAATATTTATGATACTTTTGAAAATAATTATCTACCAAAGTGATGTGTGCATATTTTAAGAAGTTAACTAGAGAGCATCGCAGGGCTACTATTTAGTTAAGATTCATCAAGGAAAAACTATAATCTAAATGGAGTATCCCCTATTGGAACTCTTAAGATGCTAAAAACGAACACGAAAATCCATAGCATTTTTTTCTTATAAAAAATATATTAAGAATTTTAATAAGAATATTTCTGAAGACCACATTGGAAAGTTATAGCATTTTTCTTTTATAAAAAAATATAATTCCAATTTAAATGAGAATATTTTTTGTAGAGCACTGATAAATACACTTTGCTTAAAGTTTTTTTTTACCAATTATTAATACGCCGTAAAATATATAATTAATTGAAAATTAAGCTGGCCGAAAGAAACAATAAGATAACAATATTGTAGCCTACAGCTTGATATACAAAGATTTAGTTTATCTGCTTCTTATCTATAAGTTTTTCCTTTTGTAAACCTGACAATAAGGTAAAATAGGCTCATAAAAAACTCTTACTAACGATAACCTAAGACTTTTCTTAGTCTAAGCAAAACTTTCACAATGATTTAAATTAAATTAAATTACTCAAATTTAAATAATTTTGGAAGACCTAGAGATAAAGTCTCTCTTCCAATTATTTATAAAAAAAAATTTCTTAGATGACTGAAGATAGGATTTTTTTCATTTATTTAAAGAAAATTTAATTTAAATCCAAATTTACTCCCCCAGATACAGATAACTTTCATCATATAATAAAATTCAATTATCCTTAGCCGAATTTTAATTTCACGCCTTTCATACATATTTATTTATAACTCTCACATATCTTGAACACTTATGTCTTAATCTGACAAAAAAACAGACGTATTTCAAGTGGAATAACCACATTTAAACCACAATTTAAGTAAATGTTACAATTTAAGCCACAAGTCATTAAACCAAGTAGCAAAAAGATAAACAACTACAAAAAAACCACAACTAACACTTCATTAAATATGCGCAAAAAAAGAAAGAAATGAAAAAATGTTGAGAGCAAGTTGCGGCGGGTTTTCCGCAAACACTTGTTGAACTAACGCTAATTGCGAGACCTCAACAAGTCATGTTAACAAACAATTAGGTAAGCCGTTGTCCATTTATGCAATTGCAGTATCTGATTTTTGCATCGGCTCTGTGCCTGAGCCTGGCCTATCCGGTGGATCATCATTATTATGAGGAGAGCCACGGCGGATATGAGCATTTGGGCCATCACGAGGCTGAGCCCATACACGACTATGGACATCAGCATCAGATTGAGCGCATCTCGCTGGGCGAAGAGCATGGTCATGAGCATCCCCACTACGAGGTGGAGCAGCATCATACCGAGGACGAGCATGTCGATTACTATGTGAGTTGCGTTTTGGGTTTTGGCAAATGAGGGCAGTTTTTAATTATGAAGCATAACTTTTCTCAGGCCCCGCCCAAATATGCCTTCAAGTATGGTGTCAATGATTTTCACACCGGCGATGTGAAGTCACAGCACGAGACCCGCGACGGCGACACCGTGAAGGGTCAGTACTCGCTGGTGGAGCCCGATGGTTCCATACGCACCGTTGACTACACCGCCGACAAGCACAATGGCTTCAATGCCGTCGTGCACAAGACAGCGCCTGTGCACCACCACGAGGAGATCCACGATCATCACGAGCATCACTACTAAGGCACGTTACCAGAATAGAGAGCATAAAAACATGAGACCATAACTATGTTTAACACTAGAGTTAGCCAAATTTTGATAAAGCCGCATCATCAAGCATACAGACACACATCAACACACATAAACAAGCACACACACACACACTCTCACACAATCGAACGATCCATGTATTGTAATCAGCTTCATATCTCGTAATTAGGACACTGACAAGAACCATGCACTCCACCACTGTCCGAGTGCATGATCCATTATAATACTCCATAATACTTATATCATATCATTTAAATAACGTATTTTATTTCTGTGATAGCAAATAATTTCCACTTACTCAACTATACTCTAACTTTCAACTGTTTCTTAGTCACTATCTGCTACGATTCATCCGATCCCGAGACTAGTTCATTCACTCAGACGAATTTATCAATCTATAAACTATAACCATACCATATAATTTCATTAATTACGTTAAATGAATGGCATATTTGTTGCAGAGAACAAACAAATGAATTGTAAAATTGTGTAATAAAAATAATGTGAATTATGTACTTTTTATAAATCAAAAAACTATGATTTTCAATATTTTATCTACATTTCCTTGCCAGGCAATGAACTTGCATTTAAGGCCGTCCACATTTGTCAATCTTTATGGCTTTATGTCTAAATCTGTGACATGTTCAACTGGTTTACGCGTCGCATAAACAATAAAAATAAATTACAAGAAATCGGCAAACATATTTTCCGCCTTGAAACGAGTTGTATTTGTTTTAATTGAAATTACATAAGATGCGAAATTGCTTCCTAAATGGCCAAAAAAAACAAAACTAAATAGTTAACAGCATTGTCAATAAATAATTAGATAAACACTTGAAGAGTTGAGAGGATGGCAAGTTTGAACAAAAGTTCAAAATACTCTGTGGCTAAAACACTTTTGTTTTAATATTTTTTGTGTGGAGCAAATGTTACAGCGCGGAGTAGCTGCTGTTCGAATGCTGTTAATTAACATAGCACTTTACATTTTGAGTGTCAACTTGCAGTGTGTACACACTTGCTAAACCAAATAAACACCATGATAACAAAAGGGCAGAGTACAACAGGCAAATGCGAACGAGGCGCAGGTAAACAAAATGCTGGCCAAAAATAAATATGTGCCGCGCGTAAATCAGGTAAGCAGCTTCTTTAGCCAACAACAAAACCTAACAGCTAATTGTAAGCCCAGATAGATGCTATTTACCTCAACAAGGACATATCCCGCATGATACGGGATAATCTGCTGGAGAATTTACAAGCCATATCGGTGGGTAACACAAATAAATCATATGATGGCACAACTACATAATCTTAAGCCAATTTCAGCCCGTGCTGTTTATCAAAATACAACCAGAATTGGATTTACTTATACAATCGGCCATTTGGTTTGGCTCCGTGGGCAAACGTTGCTCCACATTTGGCCAGCAGCTGCTGGTATTAGCCTACGACGCCGAGAAACTAACTGTTTCCCGACTGGCCCTACACTTTGCGCTTACCGTGCTGCCGGGCTATGTTAAGAGCTGGGAGGAGAAACGTTTGTCGCGCCATGTCGAATGGTTTAGCCGGGCGATTACGTGGACAGAGAACAGTGCCTTGGTCCTGAACGTGCTCAATTACTTTCGATTTCTAAAGACCGGGCGAAAGCCCACACTGATTGACTATCTGCTGGGCTTGGACTACATCAGTTTGCGCAACAATCAAAGACGCGACATTGGCTACAAATACCTGACACGTGAACTGCTATGGGGCGGCTTTATGGTATGTAACTACGGGCAAGTTTCTGAGCAATAAATATCAAATCTTAACTTACAGGAAATTCTGGGTCTGTTGCTGCCGATTATCAATTTTCGAAAGATCCAAAGGCTTTTGAAGGCTGGCTTCTTTGGAGAGGAGGGTCAGCATGCCCGGCGGCGGGAAAGTGTTACCAGGGAACTTGTTGCCGCCAAAATGACGACGAACACCACTTGCAGCTACTGCGGCGAACGTCCTACGCTGCCCCATCACATGGGCTGCGGGCACATATATTGCTATTACTGCTTAAGCGCCAATTTGATGACAGATGCGAACTTTAGTTGTGTTAAATGTGGGGCCAGCTGTCCAGAGAGCGGTGTGCAAAGTGTTTAAGTATTGTATTTTATGATTTTTACAATAGAAATAAGTATTTGTATGCAAAATGTGCGGAAGGAATGAGAACTTTTTTCACTGTGCTCTTTGGCGCGCTTTAAATGATGGGAGAGGGAAAATTGTGGGTAATTTAGCACTTTCATAAGCTGGTCATACTTTTTATTATTGTGAGCGCAGTGCGTGGTTTCGACGTCGTTGTAATATTAATAATTAAGCGTATATTTATTGATTTCAATTAAATAAAGTGCATAACTCGAAAGTATAAGCGATAGAAATTGTCTGGAAATTGTTGGCACCCCAAGATCAATCCAAATAAAAACAAAAGGTAAGCGTAAACAATTAAGAAAAAGCGCGCCAAAAATGACTGTGCAGCTGCTTAACTCAGCTGTTGCGTTCTAAGTGAACGTTGCCACCTGCAAGCAGTCAAACTTATTAAAAATAAAGTTAACCCATTTGTTGACTTGTTAACATAAGTTTCTGCATAAATTAGTCAATAATATTCAAATTCATAAGCTTGCATGTAATTATTAAGTAGTTTTAGCATAATTTCACAAATTTTGCAAAATCAGCTGTTCGCCCGATCTGGCAACACTTCAACTTTGTTATTACATTACATTTGTATTTCTGCTGCGCATTTGCCTTTTTTTTTGCCTTTGTTCGGAGTGTGTATTAGAAATCGACAATATTCTTTAGAAAATACGCTAAGCTGTATAATAAATTGCAAAACGCCTAAAATTACACGTTTACGCAACCAAATAATTAGACGTGCAAAATTGAAGCGAGAATAATAGCAGAAGCAGCGACTACAGCAAACAGCAACAACACGAAACAGGGGCGGAGAAGAAACAACGGACTTGAACAAATAACAAGACAAAACAATAACAAAAAAACAACACGAAATTGCGCATATTTTCGTGGGTCGCAGCTGATTTCACATATCAAGGTCAGTAAGGTGGCAAAAGTAAAAATAAATATTACATATAATAAACAACAAAAAAACAAAACACAACATTTTGCACAGAATATGCTCGACCTGGAAATTGTGCCAGAGATCTCACTAGGCTGCGATGCCTGGGAATTTGTGCTGGGCATGCACTTCTCTCAGGCCATAGCCATCATACAATCACAGGTGGGCATCATAAAAGGCGTACAAGTGCTCTACTCCGACACCAATCCGCTGGGCGTGGACATCATCATAAATCTGCCACAGGATGGACTACGTTTGATCTTTGATCCGGTTGTGCAGCGCCTGAAAACCATCGAAGTGTTCAACATGAAGCTGGCAAAGCTGAAATACTGCGGCGTCTATTTCAATTCACCCGAAGTGTTGCCCAGCATAGAGCAAATCGAGCATTCATTTGGCGCCACCCATCCGGGCGTCTACGATGCGGCCAAGCAGCTCTTTGCGCTGCACTTCCGTGGACTGAGCTTCTATTTTCCCGTGGACAGCAAATTGCACTCAGGCTATGCCCATGGCCTGGGCTCGCTGGTCTTTCTAAATGGCGCCTCGCCAGTGGTATCAAAAATGTCACTGTATGCGGGCAGCAATGTTGCTGAAAATCGTGCGCCTTCACTGCCATTGGCCTGCTATCATAGACAATTGTATTTGGAGTCGGCCACCGTGCTGCGCACCTCATATGGCCACACCAAGGGCCTGAAACTGAAGCTCTTCACGGAGGGTTCGGGTCGCGCCTTGGAGCCACGCCGTCAGTGCTTTACGCGTGAGCTGCTCTTTGGCGATAGCTGTGAGGATGTGGCCACCAATTTGGGCGCACCCAATCGCATCTTCTTCAAGAGCGAGGACAAAATGAAGATACACAGCTCGAGCGTCAATCGCCAGGTGCAGAGCAAACGTAGCGATATATTCTTTAACTATTTCACCCTGGGCATCGATGTGTTGTTCGACGCTCGCACCCAGACCTGCAAAAAGTTCATACTGCACACCAATTATCCGGGCCATTTTAATTTCAATATGTATCATCGCTGTGAGTTCCAGTTCCAGCTGGAGACGGATCATCAGCCTGGCGAAAGCGAGAGCAAGCATGATCATGTCAATATAACTGCCTACACCAAATGGGATGAAATAAGTGGCTCGCTGGCCACATCAGAGCGTCCGGTGGTGTTGCATCGCGCCAGCTCGACGAATACAGCGAATCCCTTTGGCTCGACCTTTTGCTATGGCTATCAGGATCTGATATTCGAGGTGATGCCCAACAATCACATCGCCTCCGTAACGCTGTATAATACGGCACCGCCACGACAGCCGGCGCATTCCTGGCAGCAGCATAAAATGCAGGACATTCGCCTGACTGTCGCCTAAAACAGCAGCTGGCTGTTGTCCTGGCTGTATTTGTGTCTGTATCTGTATCTGTGTGCGTGTGCGTGCGTGTTTGATTGTGGTCGTGTGGGCTCTGTGACGCTTAATGAACCTAACTTTAAGCAACAACAACAAAATGATCTAACCTAGACTTTAAACGATTAGTAGTTACATTACGATTATATATAGTAATATATATAGTGACATATCCATAGTCGCACCCACCCTTTAACATAACTTAGCACATAAGCATAAGCACAATTATAAACATTTCTAATATTGTAAACAAAGAGCCTGGTGATAACATCGACATTGGTCAAGATCAAACTGTCCCCCTTTGGTAGACATAAACAATTCACCCTAAATATCACGCCACTGTCAATGTTCCCATCAGAGTACTATCCCACGCATAATTGCTGACGCAGCTCAAACTTCACTCAATTTTGACTCAAACTCTCTCAAAGCGAAGTTTGCTAAGCGACCGCAACAGTTAGATAAATCAGTTCATATTCGGGAAGCAAATCTGAATGTACTCAACAAAAGTAGCCGTTAAGTGAAAATAATAAATTGAAATATATTTTTTTATAGTAACCTAACGTGCAAAACTTAATTGGCGCAGCCGGTAGGATACGTCGGGAAAAATTAAAGATCGCTAAAGGATAATTAATTCCCAGATCTAACGCACAATCGCGACCGAAAGTGTTGTCGGAGTGTAATAAAAATTTTCTCGAATACGTATCCGCACAAGAACCTTCGGGTCATTAGTAGCTTAATAATATTGACCCTTTGGGCAATAAAGCTACTACAGTTAATAACGACTGGCTTTGCATATCGTTTGATCCCTGCAATACGTTATTACTGAGTCTTTTTAAGACACACACACAAAAAAAAAAAAAAACATTTACACAATAATCCATCACAAACTTTAACTTAAAATAAAAGTGCAAAATCAAAGAACAATAAAGTTCAAACCTACAAACTCAAAACTATTCAAAAAAAGTGTATTACACCAAGATGACAATGGAATTATCAGAACAACACCTCAACCAGGCCCTTTCACAACTTAGACAGGTGCCAAGCTTTGACGGATCAACGGATCAACTAAACGCCTTCATTAAAAGGATAGATTACATCCTACACCTGTATCCAACCCGAGATGTTAGACAACATAGCATCTTATACGGAGCCATCGAATTGCAAGTCACAGGAGATGCTCAGAGAATATCACAAAGGACAGCAGCCAACACTTGGCAGGAGCTGAGAAACGCATTGATTGAAGAATACAAAGTGCAGACACCATTTGAAGAACTCCTTCGACGCTTATACAACACGAATTACCAAGGAAACGTCCGTAAGTTCATCGAGGAGCTCGAGAATAAATCTTTTGTTATTTTAAATAAGTTAGCACTAGAAAATATACCTAGCAATACAACCCTTTATACAAATGCTATGAATAACACAATCAAAGATGTTATTACAAAAAAATTACCAGATAGGCTTTTCATGATGTTAGCCAGACACGACATTACGTCGACACAAAAACTAAAGCAAGTAGCTCAAAGAGAGGGATTATATGAAAATAGCGTTACTGAAAAACCTAAAAATAATAATGTTCAGGGAAATCCAAATAACAATCGTAGGAACATGGGAAATTATCAGCAAAATGCTAACCCAACCACCATTTCAAGTGGCTATTCCAACACGAATCAGAGTTATCACGCACAAAATAAACAGCATAATAAGTCCGAAGACAATCAGAAAGCTCACCACGAGTTCCAACAGAAATTAAGTCAAGGTAGATACCAAAATCCCTTAAACTACCAAAATCAGTCCCATTCACGCTTGAATGCACCAAACCCTCCGACTAAACGTCAAAGAGATAGTAACAGTGGGCAGATGAAAATGGATACATCCGAAAATTTTCATCAGCAAGCCTCGGAACAAACAGAAGAAATCCATTCATAAAATTGATTATGAATGACGAAGTTCTAAAATGTGTCATCGACACAGGTTCAACCATTAATCTAATGAAAACTAACCGCTTAAATTTTCCAGTTTACAACGAAACATTAAAGGTTCACACCATAAATGGTGTTATTGAATTAAAACAAAGTATACGATTAGGAGCAAGCAAAATTTGTCCGAGCAAACAAAAATTCTATATTCACGACTTCTCAGAGCATTATGATGTTCTGATTGGGAGAGAATACCTTGAGGCATGTCAAGCAAAAATAGACTATGCACAAGGATCCGTAACCTTAGGAGAATTTAACTTTTGTTTTAGATATAACGACGAAGAGGTCGAAGAGGACATGACCGCACAAGAGTGCCTTGATCCACCCTCAACAGAGGACAGACCATTTAACTTCGCTATTAATAATGAATTAATAGAAAACAATGAGTTTAGGCTAGAGCACCTAAACTCAGAAGAAAAAGAAAAAATAAAAAAAGTTTTACATGAATTTCGTGATATCCAGTACCATGAAGGTGACAATTTGACTTTCACTAGTACAATTAAACACAAAATTCTAACAAAACATGAGGACCCAATTTACAAGCGTCCATACAAATATCCTCAAATATACGATGAGGAAGTAAATAAACAAATAAGCGATATGATAAAACAAAATATCATACGTAAATCCAAATCCCCTTACTGCTCACCAGTAATAATCGTTCCAAAGAAAAACGATGCATCTGGAAAGCAAAAGTTCCGGTTAGTCATAGATTACCGCAATCTCAATGAACTAACTATTAATGATAAATACCCTATCCCGATCATGGATGAAATATTAGACAAACTTGGAAAATGTCAATATTTCACAACCATTGATCTAGCCAAAGGCTTCCACCAAATCCAAATGGATCCTGGTTCAATACCCAAGACCGCATTTTCGACTAAACATGGCCATTACGAGTACACTCGCATGCCATTCGGTCTTAAGAATGCACCTGCAACGTTCCAACGTTGTATGAACAATCTCTTAGAAGATTTAATTTTTAAGGATTGTCTGGTCTACTTAGACGACATTATTATTTTTTCCACTTCATTGGAGGAACACATTTTGTCGCTACAAAAGGTATTTAAGAAGCTTAGAGAAGCTAACTTAAAACTACAGTTGGATAAATGCGAGTTTATGAGAAAAGAAACTGAATTTCTCGGTCACATAATCACAACTGAGGGTATAAAACCAAATCCCAACAAGATACAAGCAATTGTCAAATTCCCAATTCCAAAAACCCCAAAAGAAATTAAATCATTTCTAGGATTATGTGGTTTCTATAGGAAATTTATACCAAATTTCGCTAATATAGTAAAACCATTAACACTTAAATTAAAAAAAGGAGCAAAAATCAATATAAAAGACAGAGACTACGAACTAGCGTTTGAAAAGCTAAAAGTACTCATAACATCCGACCCAATTTTAATATACCCTAACTTCGAAAAACCATTTTCATTAACTACAGACGCGAGTAATATGGCAATAGGGGCCGTCCTTTCGCAAGAGCATAAGCCTATATGCTATGCAAGTAGAACTCTCAACGAGCATGAGTTAAATTATTCAACGATTGAAAAAGAATTATTAGCAATCGTTTGGGCCACTAAATACTTTAGGTCCTATCTCTTTGGTCGACAATTTCAAATCCTTAGTGATCACAGACCACTCGTCTGGTTAAATAATATGAAAGAACCTAACATGAAATTACAAAGGTGGAAGATCAAGCTAAATGAGTTTGATTTCCAAATTAAATACGTCCCAGGAAAAGAAAATTATGTGGCAGATGCTCTGTCCAGAATTCAATTAAACGAAAACTTCTTAGGCGAAGATACAATTAGCACAAGAGCAACAATACATAGTGCTCAAGAAGACAACAGTAACCATTTACAAATCACAGAAAGACCACTTAATTATTATAATCGACAAATAGAATTTGAAAAAGGAACCGAGAACGAAACAAAAGTTACGAATTACTTTCACAAAACCAACATAAAAATTACGTACAAAGACATGACTAATACGCATGCCAAAGAATTAATAAAAGAATACTTATGCACAAAGAAAAGTGTGCTATACTTCCACAACGAAGCAGATTTTCCAATTTTTCAAGAAGCCTACTTAGAAATAATAAGTCCGAATAATTCAACAAAGGCAATGAAAACTAGTACAAAATTAATAGACCTTCAAACATACGCAGAATTCAAAGAATTAATATTAAAAAAGCACAAAGAATTATTACACCCAGGAATTGAAAAAACTATCAATTGGTTCAAAGAAACCCACTATTTCCCAGATTATCAAAATTTAATTCAAAATCTAATAAATGAATGTGAGATTTGCAACATCGCAAAAACAGAACACAGAGATACAAAATTAACTTTCGAAATAACTCCGGAAATCGCTAATATCCGAGAAAAATATGTAATGGATTTTTACATAGTAGGAGATAAACAATTTTTATCTTGCATTGATATCTATTCAAAATTTGCATCATTAATAGAAATAAAAAGTAGAGACTGGCTAGAAACCAAACGAGCTATATTACAAGTGTTCAACCAAATGGGTAAACCCATCGAAATAAAGGCAGACAAAGACTCAGCTTTTATGTGTACAGCTTTACAATTATGGCTAAAATCAGAAGCAGTAAATATTAATATAACCACTAGTAAAAATGGTATATCCGACGTAGAACGATTTCATAAGACAGTTAACGAAAAACTAAGAATCATTAACAGCGACTCAGACGTCGAAAATAAACTTACAAAATTTGAAACTATACTCTACACGTACAATCATAAAACAAAGCACAAAACGACTAACAGAACACCAGCGGACATATTCATATATGCAGGTACACCAGAGTATGACACTCAAGCTAATAAAGAAAAACTAATAAATAACCTCAACAAAAAACGAACAAATTATGAAATTGACACTAGATACAAACACTCACCGTTAGTTAAATCAAAGACGACAACCCCGTTCAAGAAAACAGGAGAACTAAGACAAATCGACGACAAACATTTTGAGGAAACTAACAGAGGCAGGAAAATAACACATTACAAAACCAAATTCAAAAAGAAAAAGAAGACTAATCAAAGCAAATATAACAATTACAGGTCAACAACAGACAGCGATCAAAACATACAAGCACCAGCTTAAATTAATTATTATAATATTACTATCAATAACTGTAAACCATATAAATGCACAGAGTATTGAAATTAATCCTATCAAAGCCCATAACGGATATCTCATATTTAAAACAGGAACCATAGACATTCCGACAGATTACGAATTCCACTGTTTAACGGTTAATATAACAAAAACCGAAGAAACTTTTAACAATTTAATTGAACAAAGTAAAGAATTCAATAACCTTATACAAATCGAATACCTAGTAGAGAAATTAAACAGAGAAATAAACGGCTTAAAAATAGCCAAACGTAGCAAAAGAGGTTTAGTTAACATAGTAGGAACAGCATATAAATACTTATTTGGAACATTAAATCAAGAAGACAAAGCAGAAATTGAACAAAAAATAAGCAACTTAGCAGAAAACAGCGTTCAGGTTAACGAATTAAATTACATAATAGAAGCTATAAACAAAGGAATAGAAATCATGAACGAACTAGATCAAGAGAAACAAAAAGGAAAGAAATTAGATATCCTTATATTTAACTTACAACACTTTACAGAATATATAGAAGACATTGAGATGGGAATGCAGCTCACAAGATTAGGAATTTTTAACCCAAAATTACTAAAACATGACTATTTGTTGCATGTTAATTCTGAGAAATTGTTGAATACAAAAACTTCCACTTGGTTTAAATCAGATACAAACGAAATACTGATAATATCCCATATTCCTCGAGAAATAATAAAAAGCCCGGTATTCGAAATAATTCCATACCCGGATGAAAATAATAATATTTTGACAGAAATAGCTCATGAAAAATATTTTACCCAAGATAAAAAAGTTTATAGCAGAGAAACAAAAAAATTAATTAATAATGAATGTTTAACAGGAATTTTAAACCAAATAACATCAGAATGTAGTTATACTAAAATTTTGCAAAATTTTCAAATCAACTACATAGAACCAAATATAATTTTAACTTGGAATTTACCAAAAACTATATTAAACCATAATTGTATAAATAACGAAATAACAATAGAAGGAAACAATATAATAAAAATCTTTAATTGTTCATTGCAAATTAATGAAATTTCAATTTCAAACAATATGTTAGATTATACTCAAAGCATTTACGTAAGCAATGATGTTATAAAATTAGAACCACTTTCGTTTGTACAAACGAAACAAATTATAAATGCACATACAAAATTTAACAATGTATTCCAGATAATTACAATAACCATATTTGTAATCATATTAATAAGTTTAACACTGTATTTGACATATAAGTTCAAAAGCATACCTAAGAAATTAATTATAAAATATAAAAAACCCAAAGTAGAAGAAACACCTACAATAATAGGAGATATACCAATTCTAAAAGAAGAAAATGTTACACTATATCCAAACTTAAACACCTGAGGACAGGCACTTTTCTAATGGTTGGGGGAGTGACATATCCATAGTCGCACCCACCCTTTAACATAACTTAGCACATAAGCATAAGCACAATTATAAACATTTCTAATATTGTAAACAAAGAGCCTGGTGATAACATCGACATTGGTCAAGATCAAACTGTCCCCCTTTGGTAGACATAAACAATTCACCCTAAATATCACGCCACTGTCAATGTTCCCATCAGAGTACTATCCCACGCATAATTGCTGACGCAGCTCAAACTTCACTCAATTTTGACTCAAACTCTCTCAAAGCGAAGTTTGCTAAGCGACCGCAACAGTTAGATAAATCAGTTCATATTCGGGAAGCAAATCTGAATGTACTCAACAAAAGTAGCCGTTAAGTGAAAATAATAAATTGAAATATATTTTTTTATAGTAACCTAACGTGTAAAACTTAATTATATATATATATATATATATACATATATAGAATTTCTATATAGTCGCTAAGCAAATTTATCAGACTCACTGACCATATTCCTTTCGCGGTTCTATAATTCCATTGTGTTAACTCGACCCAACTTGACTCGATTCATTACTGACAATTAATTAGCTGCGTATTTTTTAATTGCATGTCGTTAAAATATCTAAATATTTTAAGCTCAAAACGTGTATTTCTCTTTAAAAAAGAAACAAAACAAAAAAAAAATCATCAAAAAAATATGTATAAATATAGCAATAAGGTTTCGACAAAAAAGAATTACAAGTAGTTTTCTTATCGCCATTAAATGTTTGTTGTACACACAAATATTAAGCATTTACTTTATAGACAACACGTACACTTCCAACCGTTTGTATGTATACGTCGATTATGGTCTCTGAGAGTCGAAGGTACCCAGTATGTAGATTCTCAGACGTAGTTTAATTTACTACTCTTCTACAACGCATTTCTATTATTATAAATAATTACATATCTTGGATACATAAGCTATGAATATATTTTCTGTTTCTCACAATACCCAAAAATTTTAATCCAAACTCTTTTATACACGCTTACGCGCACTTCCTATTACAAGTATCGCCTCTCTATGCGATTTTCATAAAGTCAAATAAGTAAGCTCTACAGATTTTAATGATCTTCTTGATATGTCTGTACTCAACTAGTTTTGTGGTAATATGAATGTCCTCATATATATATATATATATATATATATTTAATTTGTGAATTATAGAACAGCTCAAAATGCCGGAGCAGAACGCAGATCAGGAATCTCAGCCGCAGGCGCCGCAGGAATCAAAAGCACCCGTCTATGATGCTAGCATATTACCGGATATGCTGCCCGTTTATTACAGACGCCTCTTTCCACACGAGCCCTTCTATCGCTGGCTAAACTATGGACACTGTAAGTGCCATCCATTTATTAGCTGGGAGTTATGCTAACCTTTTTCAATTTGCAGCGGAGGATAATATATTTGTCAATCGGGAGATTTCATTCACTTTGCAAGATGATATCTACATACGCTACTTGTGCTTTGAGACCCAAGCGGAGCTGGAGAAAGAGATCTGTTCGCGTAATCCCTATAAAATCGATATTGGACCCGTGATGAACACCAGACCGAAGAACTTTCGCACTGTGGCTGGTGGATTGACGCCCGTACAGCGTGAATTGGTCTTTGATATCGATGCTACGGACTACGATGATATACGCAACTGTTGCTCCGGTGCGGAGATTTGCCTCAAATGCTGGAAATTTATGATGCTAGCGGCACGCGTTCTTGATGCTGCCCTACGCGAGGATTTCGGCTTCGAGCACATGCTCTGGATATTCTCCGGCCGTCGTGGCATACATTGCTGGGTGTGCGATCACACGGCGCGTCATCTGGACGCCCGAGCACGTGCAGCTGTCGCCGAGTACCTGAACATACTCACCTACACGAATAATACGGCACGCGTTCAGATGGGCGATCGTACGCATCATAGTTTGCGGCGTGCCTTAAAGATTTTGGAGCCCATGTTTGAGGAGATTGTGCTGGAGGATCAGAATCTGTTCGGCACGCCCAAGGGCGTTAATAGGCTGCTGCAAATGGTGAGCGATGAGGCGGCACGCAACGATTTGGAGTCGTATCTGCAGAAGCAACACGAGGATGGCGCCCACTCGAAGCTCGTCTGGGACAGCTTTGTGCGCTATGCGAACTCGATGCGTACCAGCGCAGCCAATGTCTGGAGTCGCAAACTGAAGCATATTGTGCAGGAGGTGCAGCTGTGCCTGCTCTATCCCCGGCTGGATATCAATGTAACCAAGGGCTTCAATCACTTGCTTAAGGCGCCCTTCTGCATACATCCGGCCACGGGCAAGGTGTGCATACCCTTTAGTGTCAGCGCCGTGGCCAAGTTTGATCCGACAACGGTGCCCACCATCTCACAGCTGCTGCAGGAGATAAACGCATACGATGACAAGACGAAAAGCTATATGGAGGCGCCCGAGGACAAGAGTCGCATCAAGGATTACAAAAAGACCAGCATGTTCAAGGGTGTGGTCGTATTTGAGGAGTTTCTGCGTAAACTGGAGCGTAATTTTAAGACCAAATCGATGGATTTTTAAGGCAGCATCAAAGAAACAATTCACAGCATAATTGATTGAAGCTTTTGAATTTATTATAAACTCGTCGTATTATAAGTATTAGGCTACCAACAATAAATAGACTAAATGATTGAGTTCACATGCAACGCAGTCGCACCAATGGCACTATATTACCATCCTTGTCATCCCAATCTACCTCCACCTCCAGCTGAAACAGACCGTCGTCTATGGTCGGCGTCGTATCTGGCAGATGTGCCATTATTTCGCTCTGTCCGGTGCGCAGCTTGAACGAGGCCAGGGCATCAATGGCATCACCCTCACCAGACTGCGGCAGCGAGACTTTGATCTTGGCCGGCAATATGCTGCCTTTGCTTAGCACCAGTTTAGCATTGGTCTCATCGTTGCCATGCCATATGTACAAATCATCCTCGACCAGCACGCAGTCGTCGGCCTTTTGCAGCTGTGCCTGCAATGGATCGAGCAGAAACACCGCCTGGCGCGCACAGCCAATGGCCACAACCTCGTCCGTCGAGTGACTGTTGTGCAGCTTCGCATCCGGATAGCGTGCCGCCACAGCCGCCTGAAGTTTTGGTATTTGCATGGTGGCGCCCAGCAGCACAATATCATCGATGCGCTTCAGCTCTGGGTGCTCCTGCTGTGCGCGTTCCACGCACTCGCCGAGCTGCTGCATAAATCCATTGATCACCGGCTGGATGAGGCTCTCGAAGCGTGCGCGCGACATTTGCGCATTGAAATCGACGCCATCCATTAGCGAATCTATGTACAGCTGCGTGGATGGCAGCGTTGTCAGTATATGTTTGCAATTGGCCGCAGCGGTGCGTATTTTGGCCAGCGAACGACGTGACTCGTGCGGATCCAGTTTGTACTTGCGCTTGAACTCTTCGCAGATGAACTGCACCAGCGCCTCGGTGAACTGGCGGCCGCCAATCGGAAACGGTCCAAAGGTGGCCAGCTCAATGAAGTAGCCATTCTGCACGGCATACAGGGCAAAATCGCTGTACAATCCACCGCATTTGATGGTCAGCACATGCTGACGCTCCCGCTCCGGCTGCTCCGTCTGCTCCTCGCCAATTTTATAGCACAGCACGGCAGCTGTGGGCTCTGCAATTATTTGCGCCACATGAAAACCAGCCGCTTTGGCAGCATCTGAGAGCAGCTTAAATGACTGTGCCGGATAGTAGCTGGGTATGGAGAGCACCGCAATGGGCGAATGTTCGGTATCCGTGTGATATTGTCGCGCCAGTTCCAGTTCGGCGCGCAGCAGCTCGACGGTGACCTCAAATGCGCTCATCTCTTTTGTGACTATCGTATCGTCCTGATCATCTCGGTCCGCTGGCACTGTGTGTTCCATGCGAAACACAAAGGCCTCCTTGTCATATTCACAGGGCACTTCCTTCAGCGCATTGGCCAGCTTGTCCTCGCTGAGCTCCGCCTCTGGCTGCAACAGCTGGAAACTGTGCGCCACCGCCTGTTTAGGTCGTGTGGCCATCTTTTGTTTGGCCGTCAGGCCGCATTCGGTCTCCGAGTCGCCGTTCCACAGCAAACATGCCTGCGAGACGCGGTCGCCCTGCTTGTTAGCAATAACTTCTGCCTTGCCATCGGATCTTACGTAAGCAATGCACATTGTGCTGTTACCAATTTTAATGCCAAAACGCGGCCACATTTCGTTGAAATTTGAATATTGTCTGACAGCGAACAGAAATTTGGGAAATAATTAAAATAAATATTACAACGAAATGCAGCACGCGCACGTTTTTTTGGTCAGACAGCGCGGTAAAACTATCGCCACTATCGATAACAATCAGTGCTGCAAGAGTTTCGAAACTGTGTTGGTTAGTTATTATTATTTTTTTGGATCGCAGGCAAGTTGATGTGGAATGTATGCCAGGCACAGGATATAAAAAGTTGCAGCTGTTGCCACAAGTCAGTCTCTGATTTTAATTAAGTCGCTCTTTGAATAAAGTTCAGTTCACACGGCAGAGCATTTTTTGTTAAAGAAACGTAATCCTTTGTATTAGGAAATAACGTCCTGTCAACCTAGTGGCAGGTCTGCATGTTGTACAACAGACGTACTTTTTTTGTGTCAGCTGCCAACACTGAAAAGTGCGCAACGTTAACCAACACGCTAAAAATATGTAAACAAAAATCTATACATAGTACGCAAAGAAGGCAAACTATTGACCCCAAATACGACATTAGCGCCACCCTACCGTATAGAGTATAGTTTTTGTGTCAAGCAAACAACACACACATACGACACACACACACTCACACATACACATACAGTCACACAATTATGCAGCGCAATTGACGCCCCCCAACAAACCCCAACAGTAACGTACCGATTCGTCATCGATTTAAGGCACAAGCCAAACAATGGAGTGTAGGTGCATTGAAAATTAAAGAACTCTGAATTGAAATTGAATAAAAATAGAAATACGTTTGTTTAACCGCAAGAAAATGCGCATTTCGTAAGCAACTTGTCGAATAAACAATCGCCAGAAAATCGTGGCTGCGTACAGCTCGAAACTAAAACAACCTTGAAGCAAACGCACGCACACACGAACACACACACACACACACACGGTGGAGCCCTGCAAAATGGATGACAATTTGAGCACCAAATCCTCGGAATCCTCGATTACAACCAGCGGCGAATACGAGATTGTCAACGATAGCAATGTGACAACACCCTTGGAGCAGTTGGAGCCGCCGCCGCCGACGACAGCAGCAGCAACCGCTGCGACAGTTGTCGCAAAGGTAAACGAATCGCTGAGCACGTTATCCTTGTCGCCCGGCGGCGATGCTAGCTGCGGCGATCGTTCGCCCACACTGGACATGGCGCACAATCGCAATCTCAGCGACATTCAGCACGAAATGACGGACGCATTGCGTGACCTGCAGCTGGAACGCAACGCACTGGCCGGTGAGTAACACACACAGACACACACACGCACACACACACCCGTAAACAACTGAATAGTGCGAGTGCAAGAGAAAAAAATAAGGAGAAAAAGCCAGAAAACCCCGCGTCGTCAGTTGTTTACCAGAAGCCAACTGTGCACATACAACGTCGCTGCTACGTTCCCAATTTGGGCGCACGCGCCTTTTAAAAGCCCTTTCAGTAAGCCCAGTGCGCAATCTTATCTGGGCAAGCTGCATAAATTGAATACCAATCGCTGTCATGGCAACAAATAACAAACAGAAAATGTTACACAAAAGCAACGATTCAAACCGAAAGCATAATATAAAAGATCAATACGATATTTAACCATAGAGCACTTTGTCATAATTGCCAATTAACATTTGCAGCTGTCGCCGATAAGACGCGTCACCAACAGCAACAGCCCCAGCAGCAGCAGCAGCAGCAGCAGCGATCACAACAACAACAACAGCAAAAATCATTGACTTTGCCACTCGCTGGTCGCAAAACACAAACAGCCGCCGCTGGCGATTCGGAGATGCGTTTCAAATGCAGCTTGTTCTCGCCCAAAGCCTGTGATGAATCCGAGGATGCCTCCAATTCGGAGCACAATCGCGTGGGTCAGTCGGTGTTCTATGACTGCATCGATGCCAGTCCGGCGTGCATTGAGGAGAAACAGGATGCCATGAAGCCGGAGAAATGCGATACCACCGATGAGGAAGGTTAGTTGCACATCAGATTGTAACTCTGCCAGCTCTAAGCTTTATCTAAACATCAGTTTCAGAGATCGATCAGGGCTGTACCATATTCGCTGGTGTTACCTATTTGGGCGCTGCCAATATCAATGCGCCCAAGTCCGAGACGGATGTTTTTCGCATCATGAGCGAACTTAACAGCGGCTCCAAATCGGTGGGCCTCAAGATTACCGTCAGTATACCCAACTGTTCCGATGGTCTGGTCGTGTAAGTAATGTAAATTCTTGTAGCGCTTTCTTTATATGTTGAGCAACTTTTAGGAACGTGCTGTTGGACACATTTGTGTGATAAGTTAATTTGTGTGACAAAGAAAACAAAGAACTTGACAATTTTAACGTTATTTTAACAACATTTATCTACTCTGTTAAACAGTTGTTAGCAGCGTGCTGTTACTTGCATTAACATATGTGAAAAAAGTTTCAGTGGCGTGCTGTTACTCAAATGTTATACTCTAATAAGCTAAGCTGTAGAATAACTTTCCTGAAGACGGTTTAGGAGCCAGCCAACCAAATTAGTTAATTTCTTTCGTTTCTAAGTCTTTAAAATCAGCTGAAGACAGGCTTTTATACTTGATATTATTTGTTATTTATTATAGCTTTTATTTGTTGTTACTTTCAGTCTGCACGATGCGGAGAGCAACACGATTATAGCCACCTATGAAATATCGAGCATTATATTGTATTATCGCGGGCCCGTGGATACCGCTGAGAATGGCTGCTTTGCCTTCACGTGGCTGCACGGTGATGCTTTGTTCCAATGCCATGTATTCCGTTGCCATATACCCGAGGCGGTGAATCAAGTGAGCGGTAGGTTGGCCAGGATGAACAGTTACGAATATGATTCACATTTGTGTACATATATATATATACCTTTGCAGCCTGCTTTCAGAAGGCCTTTCAGACCTATGCGCCCAGCATGAGCTGCAGCCTGACCTCGGCCGTGGACATGGTCAACTCGGTGACATCGGATGTTAGTGGCAATCCCTTAAATACGGCTGGCTATGAGTTTATTGTCTCGCTAGAGATACGCGAGAAGGTGGCCAAGAACTCGTATGCGCCTGTGCCGCGTGATCGCGGCTGTTTCAAGCTGCGCGCCAATACGGACAAGGAGGTGTCCATTACCGTCAAGCAGACGGCCTCGAATGTGCTGCAGCCGCTGTACATTGAGCGGTGCTTTGGCGTGCTTGTCGCGCCCGGCAAGCTTGTCGTGCAGAAGGATATGCATCTAATTGATATGCTGAACATGGGCTATGTGCCGGCACAGGGCGCGGGCATTGAGCCGGATACGGTGGGCGCTTGTCTCAATGCCTATGCCATACGCGCCGAATGGAAGGCCCAGGAGAAAGCCTTCGAACAACTCAATCTGGAAACGTCCAAAACCAATCTCACTGTAGCCGTAGACATTGTAATGCGCGGCATACAGGAGCCGGTGCGCTTTGTCATTGAGACACCGGTAACTATTCAGTCGGCCAGCGACATGCGCATCATGGATCACTTTATGTCCAAACGACCGATGACGTTGCGCTTCTATTTGCATCTCAAACGCACCGATGAGCTTAACTGGAAGGTGAACAGCATTGATCCATCCGAGGAGATCATCGAGCCGCCGAGCGGCCAGCAGGGCTCCGCATCGCTGCTAAAGATGGGCATGAACAATTTATCGCGCATTGTGCGCAGCTCGTCCATAGCCTCCATTGAGGATGATTGCCCCACAGACTATAGCAGCGATGGTGATGAGCCGCTGCTCAGCGGCACCGGTGAAGTGTCCAAGGATTGTTCACAGGACACACTCGACGAATGGGATCCCATTTTACGTGAATGGGACAGCGAGAAACGACCCAAAAACTTGGCGCCCTTGGTGCGTCTGGGCGTACCGGAGGCACTGCGCGAAAAGATCTGGCAGAAGCTGGCCAACGTGGAGGGCAAGGTGGAAATGAATGACATGTACAAGATTCTTATCACCAAAGTGAGTAACAGACGCTGTGCGGTTTATTGCAAAGGCGCTGACTCTCGCTTTATATTTATGTGTGTGCGTATATTTTAGGAAACCAAATGCGAGACAGTCATACAACGGGACATACATCGCACCTTTCCGGCGCACAAGTGTTTCAAGGAGAGCGGCGGCTCCGGTCAGGATGCCCTCTTCAAGGTATCCAAGGCGTATGCCGTCCATGACAGCGAGGTGGGCTACTGCCAGGGCCTCAGTTTCATAGCAGCCAGCCTGCTGCTGCATGTGAGTAAGAGATTTTTAATATCCTCACAGAGAGGGTCTATCTGTCCAACATAGTATTTAAGTTTTCTCTTCCATTGTATTGCAAATGTTTATAAAATGATGTAAATTGTTTAAGATGCCCGAGGAGGATGCCTTCTGCGTGCTGGTCGCTCTTATGTACGACTATGGACTGCGTGATCTCTACAAGGCCGGCTTTGAGGTGCTCTATTTGCGACTCTATCAGCTGGAGCGCCTAATCAAGGATCAGCTGCCCAAGCTGCATGAACATTTCACAGCCTGCGGCATTGAGACGCACATGTACGCCTCCCAGTGGTTCCTAACGCTCTATACGGCGCGTTTTCCGCTCTGTTTTGTATTCCATGTGCTGGACGTATTTCTGCTGGACGGTTTGCCTGTACTCTTTCAGGTGGCGGTGACATTGCTGTCAATCTGCGAATCAGATCTGCGTCAGCTGGATTTCGAAGGCATACTCAAGTATTTCCGGGTCACGTTGCCCAAGAAGTGTCGCAGCTCGAGTCAGGCGCGCAAGGTCATGAAGCAAGCATGCGAGCGCAAGATCAAAAAGTTAAAGCAGTACGAAGAGGAGTTTTTGCTAAAGAAACAGCACAAGGAGCGTCTGGAGAAGGAGGCGCAAATCTACGAGAATCGTTTCGGCGAGGAGCGCCGCAAGCTGCAGTCAGAGATTGAGGCACTGACCCAACAGCTGGCTGGCGCCAACGAGCGTGCGGTGGACAAGGAGAAGAAGCACACCGGCATTATACAGGAATACAAGCAGATCATACAGCGACAAGAGCAGGATATGAATACGCTCAACGAGACGTTGGGCAAGGTTATGGTGCGTGTGTGTGTGTGGCCAAGGGGCTTGGAACTCGACTGACTTCTACCTTTTCTTGCAGCACACGGTTTCCAAATGCTCGCATTGCTTGCAGCAAATCGATGTGGGCAATGACAATGCCAAGCAACAGCTGGCGCCAGGCTGCAGCTCAGAACGTCACCCACATCCGCTGCGCAATGCGAATGAGCCGCCGCTGGGTCCATTGGATCCACTAAATGTCGCTGCACAGCGCATACGCGAACTGGAACTGGAGCTGGCACAGGCCAAGCTGGCGCAGGTGGAGGCCGAATGCAAGAATCAGGACTTAAATCATCAGCTGAACAACACACTCAGCGAACTGCAAACCAATCGCAACAGCTGGCAGCCCTGGCTCTCCAAGACATTCAACTCGCTGCAGGAGAAGGTGAGCACGCGCAGCGGCAACGCTCAGCGCGCCGATCAACCCGGAGCCACATTCCAGTCGTATACGGGCCAGGCGGCGACCACAGTCAGTGAGGCCAGTTCGCCGAGCGCCCATCAGGTAACCTGACCTAACATCAGACACACCACCCAGTGAAGCCCACATGACAAGCGCTCGAGCGTCAAATCAGTTTTAAGTTCCACTTTTTGCATTGTTTACCATTATATCATTATTATCTTTTAAGTTGTTGGAGTATTAGATTGGTTTACCCCATCAGTTGGAAAGGCTTTAAAATTTGGGTTCTTGTATCGAATACCTGCAACCTTGTTACTCTCCTGCTTTGCCATCGACCCTGCTCCAATTGTTTATCATCGCATTATTTATATGCCCCCACATGAAGAATTTATATGCATACCCATATATATATATATATATCTATATATATATATATGTGTGTATATTTAGTTGATTTATCTACACATTGACCTTAACTTTGCTGCTTTGTTGATTTGATTGATTTATGAACATTTGTTGCTGCTGCAAATAAAACATACACCCCAATATATAAGTGAAACATTTGCTCTAATCCCTCTCTGTTTAGGAGTACAAAGCCTTTGCATTTGCTTCGGTTGGTGGCTCCCCGAAATTGCCGACTAAATTTCAGGCCACCAAATTGCGCAACAGCATCGACAGTTTGCGCAATATTGTTGGGCCGCTGGAGACGGGCAAAACGCTGCTCGCCGAGAATCTCAAACAGCAGCTGCAATCGCAACCATAGACATCGTCTCACTCAATATATCTAGATAGATGTAGGCGGCGCCTGGCTAGCAGGCAGTCCTAAACCCTTGATATTATCGTATTCGTCTATATATATATATATATATACTTTATATATATATGTTTACTAATTGTAGTATTAACACACACACACATATATATATATGTATGTAATTTTGCGCATTCCTTGGTTTCTCTTTGGAAGAATTGTTTTCTTTTTGCACGTTAAACGCACCCAAGCTTGTCCAACTGTAAGTTGCGTACAGTTTGACATGCACTGCTGCAAACACATACGCTAAAACCTTTAATAATATATATAACTATATATATATCATATAAAATACCATATAAATTATCAAAGAACTGTGTCATTTTTTTATTTAGCTGGGTTCGGGCATATTTTTATATGCATATGTATAAAATTGATGGATTGCTGAGCTAAGAAATTACAATTTTTTAGTGTACTTACCTTTTGTAATGCAAATGAGCGCTTCCACGGGATTTTCGCCAATTCCATCCGAAATTGTGGAAAATTGGCGGAATTAGTTAACCATCCACTGGTCTGAAAAAAAAAATGAAGTTTGTAGGTTTTACTTGCGAATTTGTATGTTCTATCCGAACTTAATAAATACATGTTTCATTTTTAGAGTTCCACCCGAAACAGTGGAAAATTAGCGGAAAGTGTATGCAACTTGTTTCTTTCGGTTTTAAAATCACTTTAAGCGATCTCTACGAAAATTAATTGGAGACATGTTTCATACTTTTCGCAATATCCACAAGCCTTGAATTCAAAATGCGGTTCAAAGTTTGTCTAAACGAAAGTTTATTTTTGGGCTTCAAGCTTTCCGAACATGTGTGGAAAACATTGATACCAATTGTTGTTACTTAGTTTGATGGGCTTAAAACTTATTTTCAACTATCTAAGTAAAATGTAACTCGATACGTGGAGTTCAAGGGCATAAAGGATAGATAAAAGTAATCCACGCGTGGAAAATGAATATCTATAATTAGAAGCACAAGCTTGGACCACGCAAGGTTAAGATATGCCAGCTAGTAGTTATTTATATAAGTTTAGTTTTAAGACCAGTTCCTGAACAGCATCGCACCAGGCATAATACTATTGTTCCATAATACTAACCATATATAATCAATTCGCTCTATATAAAAAACAAACGCTGCAATGTGTTACCTTCCGCATGCTCATTGCCATCCCGTTGCATGCTCGCATAGATAAGCAGATCCGCGGAGGAACTGCGCTGCCGGAGGCGTCTTCTTGGGCCGCTGCCGGCACGCGAGGCGCTGCTGCTGAAGGAGCGACTGCGCACGCGACGTCGCGCCACGGCGCCAAAGCAGGACACCTGCTGCTCCGCCTCGCTGTCGCTGGGCGGCTCCAGCGTCAGGTCCGACTGCAGGCGCGCACGCTTTCCGACACTGTAGCTGGAGGGATCGCGGGACAGTTCGGAGCCAAAGTTGCTGCTGCTGCGCTCGTGCGGCATATTGGTGCCGTAGCTGAGAAAGTCCGGATATGGCAGCTGCAGCTCGGGCGCGCAGAACGCCTCCGGCGAGGAGAAAGTGTGACGCAGACGCTGCACGCGACAGCGCTGGCCATGCGGCGTCTGCTGCACCAGCAGCCAGGAACGCTTCAGATACGTATGCTCGGTGCAGTTGCTGGTCAGGCTCTGGTTATTAGGCGGCGTCAAGTTGCCGCTTTCGCTGTCGGCTGTGCTGGTGGGCAGCCCTAGAGTGAGTGATATATTGAGTGAATCGTCTCGAAAGGCGTCGGTGCAGTCGTCCGCCGCGCTGTTGGGCGTGCTTGCCGCTCCAGCGGCTGTGGATAGTTCACGCCCAGCGGGTAGCGATGGCGTGCCCGCTGCATGCCCCACGGATTGCTGCGCGCCTGTGCGAGTGCCGATCGGCGTGCCAGACGTGCCTGCAGCGTCTGCAAGTGAGATTCTGTAGGATAAATTAGCAGATGCCTGGGGCAGGGGGACGACTGGCAAAGCGGGCTATAACCAAATCTCTTACCACAAATGGCCGTGGCCAGCAGCATGCGCTGGGCCAGCTGCTGCTGCTGTGGCGTCTGTGCCGCGTCCTGTGCGGCGTCTGTGGCACGCGTCATGGCCGCCGCCGAGGTACTGGGCTGTTCTTGATCCCGCTCTCGATCCAGGCTGCAGCTGCGATGCACTGGCACCATTGATTGCACGGTGCAATTGCTGGGCGCCCGGCTGCAGGCACGATCTCGGCCACGCTGGCGTCGACGCTGGCGACGCGGCTCGCGCAGCTCCTGCTGCATGCCCACCTTGATGACCTCCTCGTAGTCGGGCGGCGCCTCGTAGCTGGGCGGCTCGTCTGGCGTGCGTTCCTCGTCCTGGCGATCCAACAGCTCGCTAATTGTCTGCAAATGGCTTTGCAGCTCACGCTGATGTCGCGCCCGCACGCCCATGCGATAAAGTATGACCATCCAGCCGGACAGAACGCCAAAGATGCCCAAGGTGCTGACTATGAATATACCGGTGGCTGTCTTCAAATCCGGATACTGATCGATCTTGGGAAAGTAATAGTTGGGCTTGTGGGAATACCAGCGCCGGTCGTGATGCAAATGCGCCCAATCCTCCTCACAGGTATCCGGCTCATCGCTGCCATCTCCGCAATGATCGAAGCCGTCGCAGTGCAGCCGTATCGAGATGCAGTGATTATTGCCGCACAGAAACTCCGAGCCGATATAGCAATCTGCAGAGAGATTCAGGCATAAGCGAAAGTAGTCGACAGCCTCTAAGCCTCACTCACTCAAGTAGTTGAAGACGCTGTAGACAATGGCCAGTTTGGAGGACATGCCGAAGACGCCGCGCAGTCGTATATAGTAGCCCGTCAAGATGGGCGCAATGTGGTTCTCCTTGCTGAGTCCATTATTTGGCCACATTACATTCTCAATTTCCGTAGCATCAGAGGTGGTGCCCTGCCTGATGATCAGCTCCGAGCGCGCCGCCATGCCGTAAAAGTCATCCACACGCAACGATATGTGGGTTTTCATCATCATGTAATTGTTGCCCGGCTTTATAATCCAGATACAGTCAAAGAGTCGCACATCTGTCGCATTCTCGATCATGTTCATCATAGTTATGGCACCACCAGGTCCCGTAACCATGCCACCGCAGTCTATTTAGTTCGATTCAGGGTTTTGAAATTAATTTAAATAAAGGTTTTTTGATCTTCCATATTTGGAAGGAATTTCGAAGGCTCCCAGCTTAGTCCAATGGTCTTCCTAGTTGAAGTTCTAGGACTGCCAACATACGATCATCCAAACCCATCAGCTTTGGGCTTATACTTCATTTTTAATATTTTATATGGATAAGGTCCTAAGGTCCTAGGGTCTTAAGGTCCTAAGGTGCTAACGTCCTAAGGTCCTAAGGTCCCAAGGTCCTAAGGTCCTAAGGTCCTAAGGTCCTAGCTAGTTGAATGGCCTTTCATGCTTAACGTAAATGGTCCAAATGTCTACCAAACATACAAGCCTAACTTCTTTAGGCACCAGCAACCAACTATTTTGGTTGGTAAAGATTTCCAACACAGGCTTTCGGAATCCAAATTAGAGAGCACCCAACCAGTCTAAACCAATCGACCAAGACTTACTTAAGACCTTCAGACTCTAATGCTCTTAGACATGTTAAATAGCCTGTGGATTGCTTGAGGTGGTCATTGTTAATCTTATCCTAAGACCTCAGGGTCATAATGCTTATTAAATTATATTTAATGTTGTTATATATGATATATGTAACTATTACACAAAGTACACGTTGTAAAGGCCTTCGGATTCTAACGGAATGGAAAAAAACAACCTCAAGTATTTCGCTAGCCTGGTCTTCTTAGAAAATGTTCCCCTGATCAAATGGTATTCGGATCTCTAACGAAAATCTTTCATTATTTATACCCATGTTGTTCTCAGAGAGCTCGTACCTCTTACGACATGCCCTAAGCCCACTTACCCCGACAATATCGATCCGATTACCAAACTAGACTATGCCAAACAGTCGTCCAGTTGCACTTAAGCGCCTGCCTTGACATTGAAATTTATATAAGAACCACCTGACGGCCCCCTGCCCGAGCCCGTGCTCAAATCAATATGACGACAATTGCAGACCCTCAAGTGCCCCCCAGCCCCAGCCCCAGCTCCGGCCATTGCTTACCCGTATAGGGCACCAGTCGCTCGTCCTTTAGCTGCTTGGAGGAGACAAAGCTCACCTCGGCGCGAAAGCCCACACCCGATGCGGAATTGCCACGGAACTGGAGCAGCAAAGATTTGCCGCTGCTCACGGTGATGGGCGGACGAAAGTGTTCGCCCGTATAGGAGTCCAGCATCTGGCCATTGGAGTCAAAGATCTCCAGCGTGGAGGCTAGACCCAGCTGAAAGTCGGTAAAGTCCAGACGCACCTGACAATTGTCCGCCTCGCAGGTGAGTATGTGCTCAATGCCATAATCCCGCGGATAGGCCATGGGGAAATAGGGCGTCGATATGACCTGCGGCAGATACTTGACATTGCCATTGCCCACGATGGACTGCTTGGGCGAGCCGCTAACAATCCTCACGTTGCCTTCAAAATGGATTTAACTATTTGAGAAAAACAAATCCCTGCTAGAAATCAGCGTAAGCTTACGCTCGGAGAAATATTGCAGCGAGAAGACGTGCGCATTTGTGGCCCTGTAGAAGAACTTGAGCTGCAGAGTCCGGGTCTTGCTGCGGAAGACCTTGCCATCGCCACAGAACTCCTGACCCGAAATGGTGGTATCATAGGGCGGCTCCGAGAACTGTATGTGCTCGCAGGGACACATATTGGTGTTCGTATTGCTGCAGCTTCTCGAGAAGTTGGCATGCGTAAAGGTCACACGGATAACGCACTCGGCACAGGTGACCAGCTCCAAATTGCATTGGTACCACACATCGACCGCAGCCAGATCGTTTCTGAGGCTCAGAGGCGAGCTCTGTGCGAAAGAGTAATATGGATGTAGGATATAATCATGGTCGGGCGTTAATCCGAAACAGAATTCCACTTTATCTTTCTATTCAAAGGTAAAACCCCTTGAGGAAGACTCAGCTCCAGAGCCTAAGTAGAAAACCAGTTTCGGCAACCGATTCGCAAGGCAGGAAGCTGGAAGACTCACTCGATAGGCCGTGGTGCTGACATTGCGCGCATGCAGCTCGCCGCGTTCGCCCAGCTCCAGAAAGTGCCGCCTGCCGTTCCAGTGATTGCATATGTCCAGATCCCGATAGCTATTCGCGGGATATGCGGCGCCGGGCCAACTACTAAGTGCCAGCACATAGGCCAGGCAATAGCCATAGCCGACGGCTTTGGCCAACATTGCGCGCTGCT